CACGCACGAAACCGGACCCCCTGATTTAGATTCCATGTTGCGGGGTCGTAAATGGGCACTTTTGAGGTACCCCATATATATATATATAACGATGCACATAAAATGCTTGGTGTTAGGTAGAGCATTAATTTTAATATGCAACGTGATAGCTTGAAAAGTCAAGTGACTGGTTGAATTTCCCTCTATAATAACTTTCACAATACCTCATTTACCCTGCTTACACTTAGTTACTGAAATAAACAGGATTAGGGGTTGGAAAAATTGAATGAAATGGCTCAGAATCATTCGTAATTGCGCAGATACATTCAATCTTTGTCCTTCCCTTAAGTTTTAAGTTTTAAAATTTTCTTCCACTTTTTATTTCACGAATTCGTATTGTTTATGCCTAATGTCTTCTACTGATACTGTTTCTAATTCCTATTACCCTGATATTTGTTCTAATATTTTCATCTGTCGGCAGATATTCTGTGGCAACTTAGACCGATGCACATATATGACAGGTTCCATGTTCCGGTTGTTATTGGCTGACTTCAATCATCAGTTATGATGGTCATTATTACAATACTAGGCATCAATTTGTAACAGTTTCATCTATCTGAGTATTATACACACTTTACATGTGTTTTAATCTCATAGACACAATTTCTTGTGATATATATTCCAACTTTAAACAAATCTAAGTGAATTTATGTTGTATACAGTGTAAAATATTGAAATTGTTTTTGAACTATCTTAGTCGGCGAATTTCTATGCTTTTATGTTTGTTCACCAGTTTTTAAATTTTTTCTAAATGACAACCTGACACCAATTAGAGAATTATTTACGAAAAAAAAATTCACTAAACCATTGATTTTATTTTGTAGTCATATCTATCTCATTTTGGCGTCATCAAATACTTTGGTAAAATTTTAATCAGTAGTACTTAGAAATATAATTTTATGTATTATAGCGTAGAGTGAGTGAACATATCATTAGTGTTAAATATCCTATTACTGTAATAAGTCGAAAGCGTAAATTAAGTCAGTACTTACTGTGTTATTTCATCTATAATCTGTCAGTTAATTCATACTTCATAAAGATTGATACTTTTCCAGGTATTCATTACATTCTACGTATCTACTTGTTAAGGTGAAACAGTGACTTAATTTGTTGAAGTATTCAGATCTCAGCTGGTGGCTTTTAGATTTAAATCCCGCTTCGCCTATTTCAGATGAGATAGACAGAGAATCATTAAATTGTCATACAACTGAAGTGTAACTCAGAACTCAATATATATTACAAGCCCCTACTTGGTTAATGATCATATTTATGTAATACCAATCAAAATATCTACCAAAAATATTTTTCTCTTTCTTTAAACATATAAATCATTCAATGGTCTACAATTTTTTGTATGTCCAATGAGTTGACTGTATCTAGAATTTCCGGTCATTGTTTCCATTCATTTTTAGCAGATGAGTACAGTATATTCGAAATTCTTTTTCAAATTACGATTTTCCACTACATTCGTGTCTCGTCATTCCGGAATAATTGCCTCCACTACACAGTGTTTAACATTCATATCAGACAGTTCAAAATAACTCCAACTGATTGAAATGAAATTTTTAATAAAGTACCATTCATCATATTGATTTCAATCTTTAATGTTAGATCCATTAATCGCACCAATTTCATTGTTGGCAATGGAACTCCTTAAGTTCAAAGTTTATTATTTACTTTATCCTTCAACCAAGAGTAAGACTGAATGATCATAAAAAGTGCTGAAACACGTTCATGCAAACAACGGTACATTTCATATTGGTCAATACTACTTGATTTTTAGTTTTATCACCTCCTGGTCTTATTTCTTGGGTTCGAAAGACATCAAAAAGTCTTCAGTCAATATGCTTTGACAAGGTTAGCAAATTAATATATTAAAACCAACCAATCACATCGAGATTTCATCCACAAGTAGACTAAAATTCAGTGTCGTTATTTCATTCACTTAACACCATAGTCTTTTTTTAAAGAAAAAATTAGAAAAGTACAAAGCTCTTAGTTTGTCTATTTACTCCTTTTTGTTACATTCTTTTAGGGTTTATGTACATTGTGGGAAACAATTGAAGAATGCTGGGACCAAGATGCAGAAGCACGTCTTTCAGCTGGTTGTGTAACTAAACGTTTGACTACATTGCTCCGTCTATCTGTTATTAATCAACAATACAATGATAGCTATATTAATAACAGTAATAATAATAATAGTAATGGCATTAACGAGAAGGATAATAATAATAATGATAATAACACAGTGATGAGTAATTATCTTACTAACAGTCAGCAAACAGATTGTAATCCACCACCACCATACTACTACTGTTACTATTCTCCATGTATTACTACCAGTACTACTACTACTGCTTCTGTTACTACGACCACATTGATGGACGTTTCTAAAGATTTATGCAATGGTAGATATACTACTACATCTTTAATGAATTATTCTAGGAAGGAGGATATTGGTGTCTACAATTGCTCAGATGTTATAAGTACTACTACTACTACCGATAACATTAATAATGGTAATAATGATAAGAGTAATACTATACTAACTCGTGGTAGTACTGGATGTCCACCGACAATTTGTCTACCCTATTCTATGAATATTAATTTCTCTACACTTACAGATCATAGATCTAATAAGATCAATAGTGGAATATTACAATGTAAAAGAAAAAATCAAACATTATGCTTTAATGATATATCAGATCGAACAGAAGATCAAATACAGTGTGATAGTACAGAATATTTAAAACCAATTCAACCAAATCAACAGAGTAAAACAATAGTTAACGAAGAGCAATCAACAGAATATCAAAAGTTATTATCTTCTGTTTCTAATATGAAATGATCATCAGCCTCCTTATTATTTGTATTGTACTTATGGTTACATTTTAAAGAAAGTGTATGTAAACAAATTTTTGAAGCGTTTTTTTCTGTCTTCTCTTTTTTCTTGTTGAATATTTTTCTGTACTATGTATGTGTGTATATGTTCAATGGACAACTTTTTCGGCTTTTAATTATAAATAATCGCGTGTAATTTTTAAGCGCCCTTTTTGTATACATGTTTTTCTGTATTGTCCTTTTTGGTGTACTTTTCTTTATGGTTTTTCTTAATTTACAAGCAACTTAAGCTAATTTTACTTGTTACATTTTAAAGAATCGATGAAACTAAATCTTTTCTATCTAAAAAATGTATAAATTTGCTTCCCCTCCTCCTATCTCTTATTCTTCACTCCTTCCCACCGGACATTATGAAACATGTAAATATTTAGCCTCAGATCTGTTGTGTACTACTAGTAGTATTGATAATGGCATCCTTTACAGCACAAATAATTTATTAAAATGATCATTGTTAATATGAAAATAATTCAACAGTAACACGCCTACAACCATTTACACTGGACTGATTGATATCCAGCGCTGGTCTTTCTAAACATTAAAGAGATTAAACGTCAGTTTATTTTCATTCAGTTTTCAATCCTGTTTTTTTCAGCTCGCTGATGTATCCTTATGTACATATATATATATTTTTATATATCCCGGTGAAATTCCTTCATTTCTCTTAGTATGATATTTTTTGGTGTTATGTATGTTTTATTTTGTCTCCATTTGATGTGATGTCTTTTTTGACTGTTTTCCAATCATTCTATGATTCTATTTTCAGTAGTGAAAAAAACTTCAAAAATATTATTATTATTTGTTTTTGACATACTACTTCAAAATCACTGCAAGTAGTTTGTGTAAATAGTGTTATCATTATTGTTAATGATAATGCTTGGAAATTATGTGCTTTTCTCCTCGATATTCTCTGTTCATTTTGTCGTGCCTTCCTCCTTCTTTGTGTTTTCTTCTACAGACATCTTGATTTCTCTTTTTGGTGCTCAGCTTGTAATAATAGAGTCTTAAAAGATTAGTATAATCAAACAGCTTTAATTAGTTTTTGTTTCTGTTATTCTAAGCCAAATTATCTTCATTCTTATTATTAATATTATTCGAGAATGAGAACGACGTCACAACAGCGAGAAATTCTGTTTCCTTTCAGTGTATATTAATCATTTCGTCTACTTTGTGTGTGTGTATTTGTTTCTCACTCTTGTTCCAATTATTCCAATTGGACTCCTTGTTTCCGGTCAAACTTTTATTTCATTCGCACACCGTTTGTAGAAAAAACCCAGTAAAATTGATTAAAATCCATAGATTTGTTTTCATTATTGTAAACAAATAATTTTTTTTGGTATGATGATAATAGTTGGTTGATTCCGTTACATTCTGTCTAGTTCGGAAATTTCCATGAACATAGGTTCGGACGATCATGTAAATTTCATGAGTTAACTTGGTTTGAAACATTTCAAGGGATGGGTTTTGGTCTTCGGTAAGTACCCTCTATTATAGCTAGCAGTATGACCCCTCCTTCATACCTCAAGTTACTGTTTTTAGTCTGATCATTCCCTAACCAAATCGCCTAACATGGTAGAACCTAAAAGAACTAATATTTCAGCCATTATAACTCAACCAGGTCATCACAATATCCAAGTCCAACCACCACATCATGGTAGTAGCTGCTATAGGGATGTTTAATATTTAGTTAGTGTTTTACCACAAGAAAAAAAACCAAAATTCACTTCAGTTTTTCAGCGACTTCCGAAAATTGTATACCATGTATATACATTTTAACTGCCTATAAACCAAAAGGTTTGTAGTCATCACATAGACTAGTCGATAGTTGAGCTTCTGCAGTATTTTGGCCATATCTTTATAATTATTAGTTGTTTTTTTTGCATAATTTGAATTCCGATAAACTTTCTAGGATTCCAATCACTGTTAAAGTGTTCTTCATTCAGGGAACTCAAACGTGCTGCTAACCATTTCAAACATTCTGTTATTTCATTAAAATTATCGTTTTTATATTTGATTGGTAGCATTTTTGATCAAACTTTCGCTGTGTTAATATTTTAGACTAGATGACTACACTTGACAATATTGATCAAGAACCAGAACATGGAAGTGATGAATTAGTTTTGTCAGAAAATAAAGAAAACAGGACTAGCGATAATCATGAAACAGATCAATCCATAGGACATATGCGTGATGAAGCCTTAAGGCGTAAAGAACGTCTAAAGCAATTACGTATGAAAAATGCATCACATAAAAGTATTATACACTTAAACAATAGCGATAATGGAGAATTACCCAAACCTATATTTCGTAATTACAAACCACAGTCAGAAGAATTAAAAGATGGTGAATTGCCTGCTGGTAAACCGGTAGATCGTAAGTACCTGGAAATTGTTTATCTCTTAAGAAGATAAGAATAATCTAAATTAAGTTTTCAATCAGTTTAGTTATTAAATAGTGATCAAAGTAATTTTTGTCCAGTGCTTTAGGACTATTAGCCAAAAAAGAACTTGACTCATCAAATTTGATCAGCACTAAAGGACTAGAAAAATATGACAGTCACTACTACTCAGTGATAAATTAATTTTCAAATGTTTGTTTCCTACAGGTAGTCACGGTCTAAATAGCTTAGTAGTTATGTCTCAGACTATGGATCTGATTGACTCAGGTTCTAAATCAGTTTTCCCAGATACACCTTACTGACGAGTCCCAACTTCCAAGAAACGTAGGTTGAGGAGGGTTTTCTACTTACTATCATCATCCACCTAAATTATTTCTAGGTACTACACATACTGATCAGTACCTGGATAAAACTTCAGAGTCTGGCTGTCCATCTCTCTGTTTCTCTTTTTGTGTGTATCTATAAGTTGTTAGTGGAAGTGTTATGTTGGTCGGAACACTCCACTTTCAACAATTTAATCGCAGCGATAAACGTTTAGTTGTGCACTGAAGAGACTCAGGCATGTCCTCACTACCATTTAAATCACAGTTTTACAGTCCCATCTTTTCAGTGAACAATATTTACAATCTAATGTGTAGAAATCGTTTCGCATTAAATCTTGTAACGATGAAAAAAGAGAATTCACATGGAAACCTTCGGATCGACAAACTGTTTTCAGATTCATGCTGAACATGTAACATTTGCAGATTGACCATCATTATCATTGACATACAAATCGTTTTGACTGAGTTAATATTTCTCATATATATTACTGTGTATTGAGGCAAAGCCTGATGATACACAATGGGGATTGTTGATATTTTTTTCTAAAATAAAACGAATGTATCCACAATTAAAAAAGAATGCATTTGCGTTTGAATATATTTTATCATCTGTTAAATATTCCCTTCATTCCTAGAAATAATTTGTAAAGTTTGATAATATACACTATAGTAATTATTGTTTATAATTACTTCACAAAACTTGTAATTGATAATTAAATTAATTTAGGATATTATCGGTTGTGTTAATGATAATAATCCTTCATCCAACAAATTTTTGTAATGATGATGTGTGGACGAAAATGATAATGATAGGTTGTTTGCTTAGTCAGACATGTAGATAGTCTGATAGATGTCAGATGAGTTATCATTGATTATTGATTGTTCATTGTTGTTGTATTGTGTCGGGTTTTTGTGTGGAACTATATTTATGTTCAAGTCAGGCTAATCACGTGTTCTTGATCTGAGTTGTGTTGAAGCCGTATAGAATAGACACCGGCAGGGAATCTAGTGTAGATATTCGTCTAAGGTAAATTAACGTCCCATACGTGTAAATATGGAAAACCTATCGTTATAACAAATGACTTATCAGTTTCTTATTCCATTACTATATTGACTTCCAAAGTAAATAAAAAAGTTTTGTAAACATTTAGATTCACTTCTTCGAATCATTTTTCTAACAGAACTCATTAGTATTTCAGAATCGAAAAAAGATAATTAAATTTCAATCTAATTTGTAATGGTTTAAATTATCCTGTTGTTAATATTTGGTTAGTCATAATCAGGATGTACGTTCATTCTGTGTGGATTGTTTCAATAATAATAATAATAACCGTTATAACATTTATTTTTGTATTGATTGTTTGGATATTCTTATTGATACTTAAAACTGTAATTGATCAGTTTTTTATTGGCATATTTGCATCCTGTGAGGATTACCTCGATACTGTTATTAAGTAACAAACATAAGCAGAGATGATTAGTGGCTAGTAGTGGGATTCAGGAAGTGCGTTTCAATTCAATAGTTAAATGGAGCGAACGGTACTAGGTTCATGTTTTGGAGTGAACATCAACTCGGTGATATAGGTACATTCAGCTGATGAGTCCTGAATAGGACTAAACGTGTGTCCTAGATTCCACTGCTAGCCACTGTCCATCTTTGCTCATAGAATAGATAGAATGTGGTTAGAATTAGGTCATCAACTCTAGGATGCAGGAGCATCCGACTGACGAGTCTCAAACAGGACGAAACTCGAGTTTTGAATTTCACTGCTAGTCAGATCTCATGTACATTTCAATTTATTCTTCCATCATCTACAAACGTCTAAAGTTTTCTACTGAACATCTAACCGTACTATATTTGTTTTTTTTGCAGTGAACAAGCACATCATTGCACAACTGGAAGCTGCCGATGCACCAGTTATTGTTGATGAAGTTGTAAGTTGCTTAATTTACTATGAATATGTAACAATTGGTGTTGATTAATGGTTATTTGATGGTTGCTTTTCTGAGGTGATTAATGGTAGTGAACCTAATTAGGCAGTTTACGTTGCACTGTTATAAAATTAACCTTGAAATAATTACGCGATAAAAAAGATTTATGCGCAGAGATCATTAAAATGGTAATCTTTTAGCGGGCCATCTTATCCTACTAAGCCACTGCTAACCAGTTTTATTTGACTGAAATCATGATTCTATCTAAGTTGGACCACCATTGAATACCTAGAAGCACTGATTGGCCGTCTCGTCCCTTTATAGGAATCATCAGCAGTGCGGTCCGACGATCACGCACGCGGGAACCGAACCCAGGACCTTCGGTCTCGCACGAGAACGCTTATCCTCTAGACCACTGAGCCGTCATCTAACAATGTTTGTGTTTAACATCAATCAATCCACGAGATTGCACGACCATCTTCCATTGTGTTCGGTGAACAAATCGAATGATGAAGTGTGGCGCATATATGCTTGGTGCCCTATTGTACCAATTTTTATGTGCTTAAATAAAAAAATTGTGTTTGATAGGTAACTGCCTCGCACCCGACACAGATTAGCTCCACTGGTCACGGTTTCTCACTAGAATTACGGAAATTTCCTCCTGAGTCTAGTAACTAGTGGGCAGATAATAATTTTCAGTATGAGATCTTGAATGAATTGTATTCAAATAGCTGTGGTGTCTATCAAACACTACTGTAGATAAAGAAAAAACTTGAAATAACGGCTAACAATTGGTTTGTGTACTGTAAGAGACAGAGTCTAGTTACTTCCTTGAGTATTCTGCCACATTTGGTTATTTATGTTCCATTTAGAAGTTTGTTGTGGTTATTTCTACTTAGTCGATCAGTTATTCTTTACATTTTTCACATAGAAATTGTGGTTTATACAGCTTTTAGAGTATAAACTTGTAATCGGTTATTGAGTTACTTTTTCAAACTAGGCTAGAATTTAATCCATATCTAGTGTGCGACAGTCAATGCCGCTAACTGACTGTTTAAATCAAGGCGGTTAGAAGGCAATGTACATTGATTGAAAATTCATTCTCATCATTTATAAGCAACCATAAGATCTGGCATAAATATGCAGAGGTTTCATTTGCCATTGTTTGTGTAAAAAAACTCACAAGATCTATATGAGTGGGGTTGAAATAGTAATAGTGGTATCAAAGATAATTTTAAAAAGTCAAACATAGGGAATTACTAATTCAATGATTATAATCTCTTTTTATTTCTCCTAACATCCAATGCAAATTTGTACTCTTATTTCATATATTCTTTAGAATTTGGCAAGTCTTGCACCTCGTAAACCTGATTGGGATTTAAAAAGAGGTGTTGAGAAGAAATTGCGTAAATTAGAACGTCGAACTCAACGTGCTATCGCTGAATTAATCCGTAAGTTTTTATCTTTTGCGTTGTTTTTCTCTCACTTATCAAATCTAATTGTAGAAATAATACTTAACTGTGTGAATTTATAGATAATTTCCAAAGAATTGAAACTTTGGGATTCTAAGTCTCATCTCATATGGGATCGTTTATTTTCAATGAATATCAAGCTAACACAAAACAATTATCCAAACTGCTTTATGGTTATCAAAACTACTCTAGATGACATTAGTTATTGATAAAAACTAACTGTGAATCGGACTACATTCGTAGATCACTCATAATATTGCAGCCCAAAAATTACCGATGCTTTTTCCCTTCTTCTTTTCACGCCAATAGGTGAACGTCTTCTTGAAACAAGTGTCGACTACACTGAGACATATGCAAACCATCCGAAATCAATTGAATAATGAATTATCTTTTGAACCTTGTATTATTATTATTATTTCGTATAAAATATACTTGTGCATATTGATTCATGATAGAAAGTTGTTATATTGCTGTGTACGGACGATTAATGTGCCTCGGAAATCGCAAAATTTATTTGTTGTTGTCGTTAACACCCTGATGGTGAAACTTCTCTGACTGGCTGTTCTTCCAATTGTGGTGTATTAGCTTTTTCTTGTCAAAGAACTACTCCGAGGCCTAAGGTTTGAGCCTCATTCCACTTACTTCGGTTCTGGCTACCTAGGTTGTGACGTTGTTTCTCAGTCATGGAATAATAAGGTTTGGATCCGAGTAAAGCACCTGTATTTAGTAACTGAATTGTTATGTTCTCTACTTGATTACAGCTGTCGGTATTCGAACTCAGGGAAACCGCCACAGTCGCAAATCAAAAGCGAAAGAAAGCAGTAGGAGTGGTCATTGAGTAAGTGTCAAAACTGTACAGAAAGACAGGGGCATTTATAGTTTTTAGTATAGACTATAACATTATAAACCAGCCAATCCACAAGTAGAAAGTTATATTATTGTCTAATCACAGCATGCCACGTTTATATGCTAGAACGTTCTATCGGCTTCTGATTAGATTGGATCTCTTTGTCTCTTTTAGAGCATTTGGAGGCTTCGTCACACTTTCTGGGAGCCATCCCAACATGAATGAAATCAAAGGATAGTTTTAAAGCTGATCAACCACTTAACAAACATCAGTATAGTGTGTTCTATAAATCATAACTGCCGAAGGTATTCATCATTTCACAGTTCTAATTGTCTGGTAACTGGTTCTCTGTGAACTCAGTTATCTAGTGGCGCTAATGAGCTACAACTCTAGAGGGTGGATTTAAAGTTTACAGTGTTGCAATGTGAAATTGTTCGTACTAAATGATTGAGTTTGAAATACATGCCACTCATCTTACAAAACCTATTTATATCACGCAGTCACTGGCTGTAAAGTTGTGGCTGACACGAGACTGGTCAATTGTAGTCTCAAACATCAATGGGAAGATCCAAACAACCAATAGAAAAATTAGATATGTGTTTATCTTTTCGATATTTTTTCGCAACTGCTGAGCTTAATTGAGTTGATCGTTAGGTTCACATGTCGAAAGATCCTTTGACAAATAGTTATATTCTACGATAAAACTTCGTGATCGCGAATTTTATCCTGATTAATACTTTAAGTTAACTAATTGTCTATTAGCAATTTAGTTTGATTGGATAAGCGAACGAGAGAGAAGACAAAGAAGAACAGTTACATATACAATTGGTTTGCTACTCCTAACGAAGCATGAATATAATGATAATTGCGTTTTGAAATAGTGGAGGTTTGTAGCTTAGGCGGATGATTCTGTTCTCTGAGCTGGATGGTTTGACCATAGCGCTCTCATTGTCTTTCCGAACGACATCATCAGGAGAATGATGAGAGCTCCACGAGGAAACCATCCAGCTCAGAGAACAAAACCGCAAAAACGATTGTGTTTTATTTTCAAGATATATTTTGGTGTGCTTTCGACTGTTAGAAATATGAGTTTCATGAACAGATATGGAATTCATTAAATAATATTAAATTGCCAAAATAAATAAATAATTTAGATGAGGGTTTTGTAAAGATATATGGATTATGGGTAACAGTAGAATCCAGAACTCACATTTCGCCTTATTCGGGACTCGTCAGCTCGACGTGTCTGGATTCTAGTGTTGATGTTCATACTAGGACTTACATTCAATGACTTTTGCTTCGAATGGAATAATCCAAATCATTATTACTAGTAAAAACGGTTTAGAGATGTTTTGTATCAAGAAACGACTTAAACCAAAAACATCTGTTGAAAAACTGAGAGCACTGAACAACTGTAATGAGACAGCTGTCTAAGTAATTGTCTAGTTCAAGTCAGCCCGTAATGTAAAGTATCATCAAAACAAAAACGCCTAAACCAGTCAAATAACTATTCAGGTTTAGTATCTTGGATATAACAGCAACTTTTCGATAGATTTACACGATAGCACATTTAATAAGTACCATGGACTTTTGAAGAGTTTATATTGAATCATTACAGTAATCTTTCTGACTAATAGATGATTTTTTTGGAGTTTTGCTCTCTGTGTTGAATAGTTCAATTGTGAGATATCTATCGTTCTTGTGAACAACACCATCAACACAAACTTCAGGTAGATTTTTTTTCTGTTCAAGTTTTTGTGAGCTTTCTACCGTTTAGAAGTCTTTGACTCTTGGTTCTAATCAAATAAATCAATTAAATCATTTTACTCCATCAATGATGGATTGAAAAAGATGTTTTCTATTATCCTTATTCGTTTTTTATCGTGGATTTTTTTATTGGACTTTTTAATCGCAACACACAACTAAAATGCATGATTTTACATAATCTGTCAACCTTTCAGATGAATAACGTTGAATGAACTTGTTTGATAAGTAAGCTGTACAAATGCGATTTATCATGTAAACAAATTCAAAGTGAATAACATATTCAGACCAGATAGTTGATGGAGTATAATTAACATGTTTCAAAATACAGTAATGTAATCACTGCTTTTTATGTGTCAGTCCCCATCACTTCACATTAACAATATAAGATATACAAAATAACAATAAATGCTTGAATATATGGAGATATGGTTTGTTGTTAAACTTATCAAAAGGAAGTCGATAACAATAATAACAAATTGGAAAGAGTGCGAAATTGACGAATTGTAATTTGATAAATGATTAGTTCCGTTAAAACGGGTCAGTATCAAAGCAAATTATGCAATATACAGTCACATCTTGTAACTTAACAATTCTGAACATCAGACTGTGAACCATGGAGAAGTTAGACACATCTTCATCAGTTGGGTACTTCCACATTTGAAACTAAAATACAATAATTATATTATGAAATTCGCTATACTGGATCATCGTGTTCTAATCAATGATTAACAATTTATTTGGTTGAACAATTCCTAATAAATACAAAATTGTTGACTGTTTGAATCATATTGGATTTAGTAAGCCTTAAAGTTAATTATGTTAATCAATAAGGTTTAGTTTCGCAAAAGTTTATTAGTAACTGTAGAGCGATTTATAGAAACTTTTTATGGTTTGAATGACGAACTGATCCTAGCTAGACCACTATTCAGAACAGGGAAACAGTGAACAGCTGTTTCTTCCTAGTATAGAACTCCTCTTAAGTACGAGACAACGATCCCGCCGAGCATTGAACCCAAAGTCTTTTGCCAAATGAGTGAATGCTTGAACTCTAGGCTACTAAGGTTATTTATTTATTTATTTGAACACATAAATGCTGGTACAAGGAGGCACCAAATACATATTCGCCACACAAATCTCATTTGGTTTTTGGGAGGGCTGTGATATTGCCCGGTTGCCCAAACCGAAACGGGTGGTTTTTTTAAAGGGCCACACCCGGAGCCTTCGACCTAAATGTCTAATCCAAAAAGCAGTGGAGCATCTTAAGGATGTGGGGCCCTTAATTTTATCGTCATTTATATCGGACGATGTATGTTGACGGGCTCTCCACTTTAGTGGCCGGACTTCTGACTCCAAGTTGATCGTATGAATGATTGTTATTGAAATATATATGTCGTCTATCCTCGTATATAATCATCAACTTTAATCGCGTTAGTCAGTAGCGGATTTAGATAAGTCAAATAACGAGAATGGACTTTTGAATAGATATATTTTATATATGAAACGAATGGAATAGAGCGCAGCAAAATGACGCGCAGTGGAGATGGCGGGTAAGCCAACTCCCTTTAGTCAAGCGTTAATCAATATTTATAGCTGCACAAAAATAAGTTACAGACATGTGATGAGTAATGGGATAAGAAATGTACACACATATACGCTCATATAAAAACAGTGAAGACTGTATAAGCGAATAATTAACAAGGTTAAAATATGTACGAGTAGAATGAATAGATTGGGTTATCCGAAAGCTAGAGTATGGGCTTAACATAATAACTGACGCTACAAGGAGATGCAGTCCCATGGTAGCGGGTGACCAACGATTGGTTCATACGCCATTTGTTCCCTCAGGATACTGGAGCCCATGTACACCATTGGTTCGGAATCAGGGTTTTCTAAATCCCCTAGGTGGATCCTTCGTATTGACCAACCCGGTTAGAGCGCCGGACATTCGCTTTTCGTCCTCTCAATTTCTTATACAACACCCCACCGTGAGAAGGTAGTGAGTAGGACTTCCCTAGCAGTGGTTGTATGCACACGACGATGTGAGAGCATTTCGAGAGGGAGAGCTGTCTCTCCCCACTCTCGTCAGTACCAGGGCATTTGTGGGCGACGGTGTGTGTCAATTCAATCAATTATTGATACTTCTCGAGAAACGTCCAGTGGTGAAGATAAATAGCTACTTCACACCCGATATGATTGAACTCCACTTGTCACTAGAACTCCAGGAATTGTATTTTAAACGCGATCACTAGTGAGCATATAATTATTATCAGTATAGGATTTTATAGAGATTGTAAAACCTTCATAGTTTAAATCACGAAGTTATCTTGGTTTTCATTAGTAGTCTAGCTAAGATTAGTTCATGATTTAAGCTATAAAATTTCTACGAATTTCATGAAACTATACTGCTTACCTAGTAACTAACTTTAAAATACAATTCTTGAAGTTCTAAAGACTAGCTATAACTAGTGGAGTTCAATCAATATTCATTATTCATTTTGGGTAAATGTAACATAGTTATATAATAATTTGGAATTGATTAATTCACATTTTATAAGATACAAATGAATGAATACTCTTTAAGGTAATAAAATAAATAAAGAATATAAACACTTTAAATTTTTTGTTTGTTTGTTTGAATTAAGTTGGTTGCCAAAATAAAAATTAAAAAAAATAATAAGTTTTCTGTTAATTATGAATTCATATTCAATTAATATTAATAGTCGATAAGAATAATTATTAATAATGAACTTATGATACACATTAAAAATAATTTTTAATTTTTACAAATATTTAAACAAATGAAATAAACTGAAAGAAATTTTTATGGATCACTATTGAATGGTACTAAAATAACCTTGAAAGTGTTCACCTTCTTATTTTAGAGTAAATGAAGATTATAAAGTAGTATGAGTAATCAGAATTATGATTTACAATTGATGATTAAGGTTAGGAATTAGATTTAGAGTTTTCATCACAAACTGATATAAGCTAAAATGAATTTCGCTATTACTTACTTATTTACTTACGCCTGTTACTCCTAATGGAGCATAGGTCGTCGACCAGCATTCTCCAACCCACTCTGTCCTGGGCCTTCTTTTCTAGTTCCATCCAATTCTTGTTCATTTTTCCCATGTTTATCTCCATTTCCCGGCGTAATGTGTTTTTTATTCTTCCTCTTTTCCTTTGGCATTGAGGATTCCATGTGAGGGCTTGCTTTGTGACGCAGTTGGGTGATTACCTCAATGTGTAATTTCGCTATAAAATCGACAAATTATATTGTCGCCAATTCTAGATAGTTAAAGATTACTATTCAGAGATTATATCATTCATTTCACATGATAATTAAGTTTTACCTAATTACGGCTAAGAAAAGAGGCAATTAATAACGGAAGATACTGAAATTTCATTGAATTGAGATTATAGGTGTTTTTAAGAACTCATGCTCATGTATGATGCAACTACTGATTCATAATTGTTGTTAGAATATTAAAACTCACGTAAAAGGGATAAATCTTTATTATATTTGACAGTTTATTGTCCTAAGTAGTTAGATAATTGAACGTTACAAGTCAGAGATATTTGTTTCATACTAGTCGGGAGTTATCAATAATGGATTTTTTTTTTCGTTCATCAATTCAGTTTCCTTTCAAATTTTAATCATACTCAAGATTTGATTTATTTACAGAAATCATAATCACATTTTTCATCTTGTTCATGTCAATATCTATATTCTTTCAATTGAATTTATTTTTATACACTTTTTACCAATAAACAAAGTGTGTTTTTAAAACATGAACATGTAAGCTACTTTTCCTGCCATCTAAATATTTCAACAAGTTATCTAATTTTGTTTGTTTTACTACATCATTATGTTTATTAATTGCATAATCTATTCAGGTGCATTTCTGAAAAGTGTACAATCTTTCATTGTACAATATATAATATCATGGTTTCTAACAATATGCATCGAAAAGAATATATATTATTTAAATGTCGATTGACTGAACTGCTAACTTCTAATTGGGAATCATTCAATATATATTGTCAGGGATCGTCTAAGTAGTAAGAAACGGAAACTTGTTGAAATATTTTATGCTGAGAATTCTATATTGTATCAAAGATATAAATATTGAGTAAAGCTAACAATTATAACAATAATTTCAAATTCAATAGACTTCTATCTGAAGTTTGTGCTGATGATGTCGTTCAGAAGAATGATGAAAGCTCCAAGACCAAACCGTCCAGCTCAGAGAACAAAACTCCACCAGAATTATAAAACAATTAGGTTTCTTATAATGTTCAAGTTTATTTTAATAAAATACAAAGTACATCATAAAAACTGAATATAAAAAATAAACAGCAAGTTAATGGATGTATTTTAACTAAATAAAACACTTTTTTTGGCTTTGCGTACATTATTATTATTTTCTTTTTATTTATTTCTTTTTCTCTTTTTTCTTTTCTCTCACTATCTCTCTATTTTCTAGCTGAGATAAGATAATTAGTCAAGTGAACTAATCAGCTAACTTAACTCATTAAAAAAAAAAGTTTTCTTTTTCTTTTCTTTTCTTTTTTTAACACCCATTGTGATATTTTACACCTACATTAAAGTAATTATCATCAAAAGGATTACTTATTTATTATTTTTCAAATGATTGTTGTCGAAAAGAATTCTTTAATTGGATTCATCTAATTGATGTGAATATATACATAATAGAAATATTTTTTTTAAATTAATGATTTTCTACACGAGATCAACATTGAAGGACTATTAAGCAAGAGAGAGAGAGAGAGAGAGAGAAGAAAAAAGAAGGTGTAAATTAGGAAGTTCACTAAAGATACCTTCTATTTTGATTTTGTTATAATGAGAAATAAATAAACAAACCAAAAAGAAAGAAAGAAAGAAACTAATCGACATTATCTTTGATCTTATGAACTATTATTCAGCTAACAAGTTGGAATTTAGTAGTGTATATATATTTTTTAAAAATTTAATCAAAAATAAATCGATATTATATAAGTTACTTACTTAAATTATTATTCATTATTGTTATGTCCTGACAAGAATAATGAATGGTAACTTTTGAAATCTATTGGTGGACCAATATTAAACGTATATTTCTATTGTATAATTATTAAGTAACTAAACTATTCATATTCGTGTTCCTCTTATTATGAGCTTTATTTTGACCTATGAACTATTATTATACGTTTTACCATTCTTGAGTTATACCCAGTAGATTAATTACTACCTCCTTCATTCACAGCCACATATGGCTAATTCTTGTACAAATGTTCTTTCATATTTTATTGGTACATTGTGGTCTGTTTGATTGGTATATAAACTCGGTATGTTTGAAAGATAATGATTCATATTGCAGAGGCTCGGATTGGTGTTCTGGACTCAACTGGCTGGGCTAG